TGTGATCTTTTAAGAATATAATCTGAGTAAGTTCTACCACTGCTCAAAAATTTTTAATGATTCAAAATAAAAACCTAAAATCCTTGGAACTTTCTACCTCTTGCCACCTGTTGACTCTCCATCTCCCATAAAACAAATTCCAAACTCATCACAGCAATTTCTGAAAAAGTCTATTTCTTATTTCAACTTCCTCTTATGTTATTTCCTCTTTCTAAAAATTATTTGCTTTGTTTGGCATAGGAATTCTGATTTGTTCTGAGACTTAGCCCCAGCCATTGCCTTCAAACGTCTTCACTTTCTACTTTTTTCCATAGTATTTCACAAGAGACCCTTTCATACCGTGTCTATTATTCTGAATATCCATAAATGATATGTCTATTAATCATTTTTGTGTCCTAAAATGCCTAATACATTGGTAGCAACAGTAAATGATCAATTAACAGTAGAATGCATAAGTTTTTTTTTGCTTTTTCCAAAAATAAAGCATCTACCACAAACATCCAAGAGACACACAGAACAAAGCAGCTACTCAAAGAAAAACAAACAAACAAAACAGAAGGGACGGATAGACAGCTCAAATGGCTGAGCACAAGCTTTGCTTGTAGAAGTCTGAGTCTGATCCCCAAGTACTACATCATGCCTGAACAGAGTGAAGCCCAAATGTCACTAGATGTGATAGAAAATCTCATTCTACTCCTGTTCTCCCATTCATACTCCTGCCAAAAAAGGAAAGAAAAAAAAAGAAAAGAAACAAGGCAAAAAAGAACCAGCAGACATAAAGGAGGCAGAAAGGGGGAAAAATTAAATACACAGAGTCTCTTTAAAGTAACTACGGAAAGGCTAGTGAGACAGTAGTACAGAGGGTAAGGTACTCTCCTTACACTTAGCTGATCAGGTTCAGTCCCCAGAGGGGCATATGAAAAAACGTTCATCATGAGCTGGAGAGATAGTATAGGAGGTAAAGTGCTTGCCTTGCATGCAAGCAACACAAGTTCGATTCCGCGTACCACACATGGACTCCGGAACCTTGCCAAGAGCATCACCTAAGCTCATAGCCAGTAGTAAAACATGAGCACCCCCAGGTGTGGCCAAAAACATATAAATAACATTAATAATTGCAATAACAATAAAAGCAGCTAATGAGAACAGTTTTTTATTCTTTGCATCATTCTAACACAAACATGTTTTGCTTGCTATCAATCCTGGCAGCTTATTCTGATTACCTGAAAATATATGTGAGGAAGTGCTTTCCTCCACAACTGAGTAGGAACAGAGAGAGGAATTATGAGTTTTAAAAATCAGCTATTCTTCAAAAAATAAAAAGAGCTTTTTTTTTCTTTTTGGGTCACACCCAGCAATACGCAGGGATTATTCCTGGCTCTGCATTCAGGATTTACTACTGGCAGTACTCAGGGGACCATATAGGATGCTGGGAATCGAACCCGGGTAGGTCATGTGAAGGCAAACGCCTTACCCGCTATGCTATTGCTCCAGCCCCAACAGAGAACTTTGTTAGTGCTACAAGAAGACCCTTAAATCTACTCAGTCCCAAATGCATGTCTAATAGTTGCCTCCTAAAAAATTTGTGAGTACGATATAATAGATATTTTACCAACCAGTTATCAAACATTCTTCCTAAGAGATTTCCAATATCTCTTCCTGATTTTATATTTTTTTCCCCTTATGGTAAGTACATCTTTCACTACTCTGTAAATATGCATTCACTTTTTTTTCCATTTTTTTTTTATTTCTATTAGTGAAACACCACGAGGTACAGTTGTAGACTTACAAATTTTTGTGTTTGGGTTTCAGTTATACAATGACTGAGTTCTCATCCATCCCTCCACCAGTGCCCATTCTCCACCACCACTGATCCCAGTATCCCTCCCACCCCCCATCCCACCCTGCCTCTGTGGCAGGGTATTCCCTTTTTTTCTCTCTCTCCTTTTGGGTGCTGTGGTTTTCAAAAGAAGCATTCACTTCTTATCCTTAAAATAAACTGAAGTACTTTCCTCCTGCTTTCCTGAAAATGTTCTTGGATCAGAAACTTCCCCAACTGAATTCCCTCTTTGGGGGGACAGTTTTCCACGATCACAAATGAAGCCAGCATTCTTTTTCCTTTGTTTTTGAGACCAGGGATGGAAGCCACGGCTGAACAACAACAGGCCCAGAAGCATTTTTGACCCTTCCCTTTCTTTTCTTTAACTGCCATATCCAGCTCTCCATTGAAGTAAAACAAATTCAGAATCCAGTAAAGCTCACAATTAAGTTTAGATGTGTGAGAGAGAATCTGAGATCAAGTACACAGCATAGTCAGAAGCTAAAAGTCCACACTCACAGCACCCTCTCAAGGAGTTTGAAATAAACATAAATATCAAAGTAATAATACTAAGGAGGATGCCAAGTTCAAAATCATCACTAGTCAAAAGACAACAAAAGTAGAAGCATATGCCATACCCAGTAATCTCAGATCTAACCTGATTGCAAAGTTGACGTTTTGAAGAACAAGTACACAGAAAACAGAAAACTGGAAGAATGTCACTCTCTGGCATCACTACTGCCCTAACAAAACCTTTCTCCCCTCTTTGTCATTTTAATTTTCTTTCTCTCTACCTTGGAAAAGAAAAACTAGCTTTCTGGAAGGATCCACCTACCATTTTTGATCTCCACACTTGAACATAGATGCAAGAACTGCCTGCCTTGCAACTATGAATTATTATTTTATCCAAATAACCAGATCACTAAGTTTATCTTTACCCAGCTACAAACTCGACTACACCCTTTCTCTATAGAACACACCTGTTATTCATTCTGAAATTGAATTAAAACACTGTATTTACAATAAATGGGCAATACTGACCTATAGAAGCACTCCAACTAATTACCCAGCTCCTTTTTTTAATGTGTGTTCACAAGTTATTCTAATTTCCCGCACTTTCCTTAAAAAGTTTCCAACTTCTTATACTTTAAGAACCTCAAAGTGCTTTTATTTCTTTTCTTCCCAACAGAGCTAGATTCTCCGTCCTGTACTGACACAAACCTGATTCAAAAACTATCATTAACAAACCACCTTAATGTAATTTTTAAATTATTATTTCAAATACATTTAGAAATACTAATTTTGAAGCACACAATTTAAAAATTATTAGCTTACAAATAAAGGACTGTGAAAATTAAGTAACCTGACATTAATAAATGCCAGAACTTGAATTTAAATCCAATGATTTTTCACTCTAAGACCAATTTACTATACAAAGAGACAGTGAGCTACATTTTAAAAGATTCCATGTTCCTGACTCTAGATAAGCTAACCACATCTTAAAACACCATGATTTTTTTTTAATTCTAAATTTCATCTTTTCTTTCATGATCATGTATTTATTTTCTTGAATTTTTAATTATTTGGAAATATTACTATTTTAATCTTTTTTTAAAAAAAATTTAATGAAACACCATGAGATAAAATTACAGACTTACACACTTTCATGATTGCGTTTCACTCATACAATGGCCCAGTATCCCTCCACCAATGCCCATTCTCCACCATCCTTTGCTTGGTGGTCTCTTCTCTCTAAATTTCATCTTTTATGCTAAATATTTCTCTTTGAAGCTTTAATGATCTCATAACCTAGAGTTCTGAAATTCAGTCACAAACTTTTGTTTCTCTTAGAGTCATAACCTTTTATTTGGGAGGATGGGGCGGGAAAGGTTACACTGGGTGTGCTCAGGGATTACTCCTGGCTCTGCATTCAGTACACTGGGTATGCTCAGGAATTACTCCTGGCTCTACACTCAGTAATCAGTCCAGGCAGCACCGAGGAGGAGGGGGGGGCAAAGGGGGGCGATGATGGAGATTAAACCCAGGTCCGCTGCATACTCACTATACTAACTCTCCAATCCCAACCTCCCCCCTCCCCTTTTGGTCATTTGTATTTTTTTTCTTTTCTTTTTTTTTTTAATTAATCACCGTGAGATGCAGTTAGACTTACAAACTTTCATGATTACGTTTGTCATTCAGTCATACAATGATCAAGTACCCATCCCTCCACCAGTGCCCATTCTCCACCATTCTTTTTTCAAAAAAAAAAAAGTTTTTTTAAGCAGACTGGCCATCTCCAGCCATCCACTCTTTAAACTGCAAATTGCTTTTACCAAAATTGGTTACCAAATTTGTTCTGATACCAAAATTGCTTCACGCTTTCCAATGCCTGCCTGAACGCTCCAGTCACTAATTCCATTCATTTCTTGACATCTGCAAACCAGAACGACTAGGGACAATCCTACAGGGCTGCCAACCCTGCAGAATATCGGTGAATACTTTTTCTTCGCTGAACTGAAACAGTGAAACCCTCGCGCATGCCTGCTTCGGATCTATTTCAGTAGCTCGGAAGATAACGAAACACAGTAACGTGACTCGTTAGAGACACCGCTGAAACTAACTTGCACTTGATTGAACTCTGACCGGCATTTGACTCCTTCAAGCTCGCAGTCCTGGAGGGATTCCTGTACTCCTAAGACCCTCCCAGGGGCTCAGCGATCGGAAACATACGCCTGGGTCTGAAAACTAAAGCAAAGGGGAAACCACTTTAGGTATTACTCGTCGGCTCTTGGAAAGCGAGGAAGACCCTGAGGCTGTGTTTGGCTTTGTTTTTCCATTCGATCGCCTCCCATCCACGGCCCTCAGCACCAGACATGGGTTAGAGCTCCAAAACTAAACTTGGGGGGGGGGGGGGTCGGTGGTGGGGGGGGGGAGGGGGGAAGGCGTTGATGACACGGGGAACTACTCTAAGCGAAAAAGCCAGGGAGAGAAACCAGGGAGCCTGGGATATCACCGTGGGCGAGTACTGTTGGAAAAGATGTGAACTGTCAAACAAAACAAGTCGCTGCGCTTTATCTGGCGTGGGAGCCCGGGAGTAGGGGAAGATCTTGCAGTGAGACGCACCGGGGCACCTGTGAGGTCCCCCCAGCAAAGGTCGAATAAGAACGGGCCAGTCACTTGCCTCCCATTCCTGCAAGAAACGCTGGGCCTCATCAGAACCAACGGCCTTATGTCTCCTAAATTCGTCCTTCACATACTGGTCACCAAGAGCTTTGAGGTCCGGGGGCAGTACCCGGTGCAGCAGCAAGATGCGCCGATACAACGCCCGGACGCGCGAGACGTGCCGAGCCGGCATCCCGCCGCACGTGGAAGGCGGACTGCGCCTGCGCATAGGAATGACGGCAGCCCCGCCCCGCCGAGAAGGTGAACTAGAAAGCGGGCGGAAGAGGCCGCGCGACCTTCATCCGGTTAGGTCCGCCCTGAAATCCAGACCTTCCAGAAACGCGAACGAGAGCGACAGATTCTAGTACCCGGCGGGTCCTCCTGGAGGAGAGGCGGGGCTTTCTGGGATCCGCGCTTGTGCCTTGAGTGCTCAAGGCTTGGGACGTCCCGAGAGGCTGGGAATTTGAGCCAGCTTGTCATTCCTGGGTCCCCTCCCTTCTTTCAAGTTCTTCTTCACCTTTGTCAGAAGGAACCCTTTCATAATGAACTTGACCCACTTCAGCTGTATAGTACTGTTGCTTCCTGTGCGCAGGATCAGATGAACTTGATCTGTCCAAGATCTTGCACCCCACCAACTTTTCGCAGTGCAATCTCCTGAAGCGCAGCACACGTCTGTGTAATTAAGTGAGCCCTCAGACAGAAGATTGCGTTCATTCATTCAAGTCAAATTGGCTGTGGAAGAATCACTGGGAACCCTGTGGCCATAATCATGACCGTAGGGCCATAATCCTGCGGATTCTGATTGTATATTCTGGGATGAAAAAAATAAAATCTGTTTACAAAGCACCACCTTTGGCAAAGGTTCTTGATGATGAGCACATGGTCGGTTATTGGTAGCAAGTGGGTACCATGTTTTCTCCCTGATCTCCCAGATGTGATTTCTCTCCCTGAATCATCACACCTGATTCTAATGCAAATGCTGATGGTTCTACCAAAAACATAGAACAGAATTTAACCATTTCTTACTAACTGCCACACCATCTCTCTTTTCTGGATACTGGGAGTTTCTGTGTTTCTGCTTCAACCTATGGCCAACATTCCTCACGACCTACCTAAACTGTATTTTAGAATCATGTCACTCTTAGACGCAACAAAATACTCATCACGGTAAAAACCCTTCTTTTCACCTCTGAACTTTCTCCTAGTGCTCTCTTCCTCATCGGCCAATTCCAGCCACACTGTCTTGCTTATAGGTCATCTTTGAAAAGCCTGGGTACCCTCCTGAGGGACTCTGAACCTGCTATACTCTTTGCTTGGAATATTCTGCCTTTTATTCCCTCTCGGCCAACTTGTAGTTCACTCAATTGTTACATAAGGACCTTTCAGATTAACTCCTAGAAACATTTCATTTGAAATCACAGCATTATTATTTCAAGAAGGTTCTAATTGTCTTTTCTCCTCACTTTATTTTCCTCTATACAAGTAGACCTTACCTTTTTTGCTGTTTGCACCCCACATACTAGAATATAAACTCTATGCCAGCAGAAATTTGGCATATTTGGTTATGAGTGGACTCATTATTTACTTCTGGTAATGAAGGGGCCAGAATGTGGGAATTTATGTAATTCCCACAGAGGCCACAAACTTTCCATATGCAAAGACTTTTTTGAAAGATGAAGAAAATGCACCACCAAGCTACCTGGTACCAAAGGCAAAGAATTACTCATTTTAGTGTCCATTTCAAGGCCCACCACAGCGAATGACAAATATTTATTATTTTAGTACTACAATATTTATGACCTTGAATGGACTTTTTCATTTAGCTTACATTTAGGGAAAGGTTTGCTTAAAAGAAACAGAATATTTTTAAATGGATTTAATCTGGTACTATGACAAACCACATTAATGGCAAGAACTAAATGGGCCTGTGGTTATTTTACCTCAGGAAATTTTTCTAACCATATTTCATCTGTTAATATCCTTGAAAATTGAAAATTAATTTAGTTTCTTGTTCCAGTTTACTTTTTCCAGGTTTCCTTTAGAGCTAAAGTATACATGTAATAAATACTTTCAGAGCCAAAGCTCTTATTAAAATATGGGGAAACATTCTGCCAATGAATTAATAAAAAAATAACAATAAAAGAATTAATTTGGTCTAACAGGAGCAAAAAAGGTTCATAGCACAGTGGGAAGTCAATGCTCAGAAATGACAGATGATGGGTGGTGAGACAGAAGCCAAGACACAGTGGTGTTATTAGGGCCTGAGAAGAATGAAGAAATAACAGTAAGAATTATGATAGAGGACCTTTTTTTTTCTTTTATACAATGGTCTGGACAGTGAGCTATGTTTTAAGGACAAAACTTTGTTGCCCAACCTCCCAGTGTTGGCTGACCAGTTTTATTCCTACAGTCAAAATAGCCAGAAGATAAAAATAAGATCTGTTAAGGTCATGTAAGAAGATCAGCACATTTCATATAAGACTTTTCTTTATTCTTCCCCTCCTTTTGTTGAATTTTCCTAGACAAAAACGTTAGTTCAAAATTGATTATGTCAGATATAATACGACTTATGATTATGATTTCTACCTGTTAGCAATATAAAATATTTTTATACTTTCAATGTTCTTGGCCTAACCTCTACTTTCTGATCTAGTATGGTAATAATTTTATTCATTTTATTAGCATTTGCTTCAAAGTCTTTTCATTGTCAACTGTCACTGGTTATTTTGTATTGTCTCCACTTAATATCTAAACTTACTTTTATTAACTAATCTTTCCGTAGATTAATTCAGATTAATTCTTATAATTAATTTCGTAGATTAATTCTCATCTGCCCCTTGTGCTGCCCCCTGCTCCCACCATCTCTCTCTCTCTCTCTCTCTCTCACTCTTTCTCCCTCTCTCCCTGTCTCTCTTTTTCTCTAGCCACTTGGAAAGTTTTTTATTCTATTTCTGCTTCTCTTGTCATAACTCTTTCATGTTGATCATGTACCCATAATTTTACATTGTTCAAATGAAAACTAAGATTAATCATCACATATAACCTCATCAATATTTTCTATACTTTGTTTATATACCTTTGTGCTTTGTTTGGGACTATTCTTTACCCTTAAAGATGTTCTCATTTGCTTCCTAGAACATTCATTAGTCACGGTCACGGTTCTCCCGTTGTTCATTGATTTGCTCGAGTGGGCCCAGTAATGTCTCCATCATGAGACTTGTTGTTACTGTGTTTGGCATATCGGATACGTCACGGGTAGCTTGCCAGGCTCTGCCGTGCAGGCGAGATACTCTCGGTAGCTTGCCGGGCTCTCTGAGAGGGGCGGAGGAATCGAACTCGAGTCGGTCATGTTGGCTGCGTGCAAGGCAAACGCCCTACCACTGTGCTGTCGCTCCAGCCCAGAGCATTCATTGACTTTCATTTTGTTTTGTTTTTTGGAATCATTCATTCAGTATTCTTAATTAATGTACTATCTTATCTTTAAGGATATATTGGGTGGATTTGGGTTTGGATCACACCCATCAGTGCTCAGGCTTCTGGTTCTGTGCTCAGGCATCACTCCTGGTGGTGCTCAAGGGACCACCTGGGATGCTGGAGATCAAGCTAAGCTCAGGTCAGTCAAGGCTTGCATGTGAATACATATCACTCTGGAAACAAAAGAAGCATCTTGTACTATCTTTCTAATCCCCTTGGGTATTCTTTTCAAAATATTCTGTCTTCTTATTCTAATGCACTATTCTGTTAGCTCTGTTAATTCTTCCTGATGATATTTAGTGTCATAAAATGCTTATTAATTTTGTTCAGCACCTAAAAGCAAAATACAAATAATAAGTTTAGGTTTTTTAAGTAGAAGAAAACCTAGAAACAAATGAAACAAAATACTAATAACATTGTTGCATCTGGTAAGGCTATAAATGTACTTTATGACTTTAACAAGTCATATCTGTTTTACATATAAAAATATTTTTACATTATTACTTTTTAAGATGTTTAAACAGAATTCATATTATTTCCAATATTCTGTAAAAATTTTATGAAACTAGATCACACATAAAGAAAAACTTTAATAAATTTTGTAAAAGGCAGAAATTTTATAGACCTTATTTTCCAACCACCACACACAAAATCAAAAAATCATAATAAAAGCACAAACATTCTTAAAGTATTACATAATAAAAATGAAAATTATAATAAAAAGTAAATATATTATAAAACTATTACATAATTATAACAGCAAAGAAAAGGAACATAACAATGGTCTTTAGAAAGTATTAAAAAGATAAACTAAAAGATATGCACTTAATTCTTACTGTGTGATACACAACTTGGGTCCTCCTCTAAAACTTTAGTGGGGTGGGATTTAAGATGCACCTTACTAATTAATACAATTTGGAAAGGTTAGGGAAAGGCAAGGCTTTTCAAAAGAGAAAAATCACTGAATTTATGTCATTAAACAGTGGAAAACAACAAGCTGATTAGACTTTTAAATGTCTATGTTATGTACATTTTAATACCTGGTTTATATATCTGTAAGAATGGTGAAATTGGGGGTGAGGGGGTGGAGGATGGTGGGAGGGATCCTGGGGATACTGGTGCTGGGAAATGTACACTGTGGAGGGATGGGTGTTGGAATATTATACGACTAAGATTCAGTCATAAATGGCTTTGTAATGCTCTAAATTTTTTTTAAAATAATAAAAAAAAGAATGGCAAAATTGGGCTCAAGTAGCTCAGTGACTTCCTGGATTGAAGATGTTTAGATTTAAAGGTCCTTAAAAAGCATGTGAAGTAGGTTGTCATGTGTAGGGAAAGAAATAAGTTACTAGAAGTTTTTTTTTTCTTTTTGGGTCACACTCGGCGATGCTCAGGGGTTACTCCTGGCTTTGCACTCAAGAATCACCCCTGGCGGTGCTCGGGGGACCATATGAGATGCTGGAAATCAAATTCAGGTTGGCCGTGTGTAAGGCAAACACCCTACCCGCTGTGCTATTGCTCCAGCCCCCAACTAGAAGTTTTTATCTCAGAAGACATGATAAGAGCAGTGCTCTAAAAAAGAATAATTATGTTTCTGTGTGCAAAATAGACTGTTAACAAATTAATACATACCTTCCTGGAAAAAAAAGATCTTGTTTTGACTACAAAACTACTACTATACATGCCATGCATAGTAGACTATGATTAACTCAACTGTCTGCACTTGAACA